GCAGCACCAGCTGCAGCAACAGCTGCAGCAACAGCTGCAGCAACAGCTGCAGCAACAGCTGCAGCAACAGTTGCAGCAGCTGCTGCAGCACCAGCTGCAGCAACAGCTGCAGCAGCTGCTGCAGCAGTAGCAGCACCAGCTGCAGCAGCAGCTGCAGCAACTGGAGCAGCTGCAGCAGCTACAGCAGCAGCAGCAGCTGCTGCTGCTGGCATCGTCAACGAAAGCAAGAAGGTGCGATATTAGTGGCAGTTTGGAGAAGCAAAAGTGCATTTGAAAAGTCTAAATGTTTGGAAGCAGCAAAAGCATTTATTTGGAAAAGAAATGATTTATTTTATTTGCCAGTTGGCAGCAAAACATAAAAGCAGAAGACAGACGCATGCAGCTGCTGTACTTGTGTGCTGCAAGGGCCATTTTACACATTATGCATATCTTCTATAAATAAATAAATAAATAAATAAATAATATTTATTTATTTGGATTAGTAAATATATTTTGTACTTTTATTTTTGCATGTTCTCCACCTGCAGTTCATATTGCTTTGCAAGTGTTCTCCAATCTGCACAGTCCAGTTGTGTAATATCCACAATATAAATAATATAAATAAATAATATAAATAAATAATATTCATAATATTCATAATATTCATAATATAAATAATATAAATAATATAAATAAGTAACATATATAATAACATATGTAATATATATTATACGATATATTATGTAACAGTGTGGATATTAATATTAGACTTTAAATAATATTGCAAATGAATGTAATGCCTCATATTTACTTACAGTTATTCATAAGCACATACACCCAGGAAATGGAGATAAGCAAAAAGAAAAGAAGCAAACACTTGTGCAAGCAGCAGCAGCAGCAGCAGCAGCAGCAAAAGTAATAAGAAAAGTAACAGTACCGATAACAAGAAGAATAATAAGTAATAACAGCAATAATAATAATAATAATAAGAGTAACAATAATAATAATATAATAATAATAATAATAATAATGGTAAATAATAATAAGAAATGTGAAAAGGACTTCACATCAGCGAACACCGGGAGCAGCACTTGCTGCTGCCGACTTTTTCAACTTTTGCGTCTCCGGGACTTTTTTGTTTATTTGCTGCTCCATTTGACTCTTTTATTTCAGAAGTTTCTTCTTTTCGGAGCTCCTGAGCGAAAGAAAGAAACAAAAGACAAAAAAATCCAAAAGTGCACTTTGGAGTTTCGCGCCACCCTTTGTTTCAGGTGTACGTACACTGCGCAGCAGCCCGTGTTTTTCAACTTTTGCATTTTCGCTTCTTTCTGTTCATTTTTTGCGGTATTTACTGCGATTTGTTCGTTGCTTTTACTATTTTTATTATTTTTTATTGTTTTGTGTTTGTTTATTTTTAAATTTGGCATTCTGCTCGCATTACTTACTTATTTAGCTACTTAGGTCAGCATCAGGGGCCCCTCACCGTTTGCGCTGCTGCCTCATTTGTCGCAGTTGTGTTCGCCTGGCTGCTTCTGTTGTCATTATTATTATTATTATTTACAGTTTTATTATTTTGATTTTTCTCTTGGGAGTTTTTCCTCGGAGTTTCTGCAGCAGCAGCGATCTGGGGTGTATCGCCACCTGGGGCTGTCTCCCCGTTGTTTCTCTCCCCCTTCTCTTCTTCTTTTTCCTCACTTTTGAGTTCTTCTTTTTCTTTTATTTCCTGCTGCACCTCCACTGCTGCTGCAGCTTCCCGCGCGGACTCCGCTGCTGCAGCTTCTGCGTCTCGCGCTGCTGCTTCCGCTGCGGCTCCCTCGGCCTCTGCTGCTGCCGCTGCTGCTGCTGCTGCAGCAGCAGCAGCAGCACCGTCAGGAGGCTCCTCGAGCTGCTTCTGCTGCTGCGCCTCCTGCTCCCGCTCCTGCTGCTCCTGCTGCTGCTGCTGCTGCTGCAGCGCCTCCGGCAGCGGCAGCCCCAGGTCCCGGAAAACAGCAGCAGCAGCAGAACTCCACTGGATTGGCTTCCTGCTGCTCTTCTCCCAAAGAACTCCAAAAGCTGTCAAACGATCCGCTGCCACAAAAGCCTTTTCGTACGGGTGCTCCGCAGGTGTCTGTACACCCCAAACGCAGCAGCAGCAGCAGCAGCAGCAGCAATTCGCAAAAAAACAAGATCAAAATTTTAATTATTCAACATTTTTAGGATTTTAGACTGGGGTTAAGGGTTTAGGGTTCAGGGTTTGGGATGAAGAGATCTGGAGGGAGCAGCACGAGCAGCAAAAGTGGAACTGAAGAAGAAAAGAACTTTTCAATTATTTAATCTAAATGAAATAAAAACAAATCAAAACAAAATTAAAAAATAAAATCATTTAAATATCTTTTTAATTAATTCTCTTTTTCCCTTCACCATTTTCTCATCCATTTCTATGTTACTTCTCTCCATTTATTCATTTCTTTCCTCTTGTTTATTTATTATTAATTTTTATTTATATCTACTTTATTTATTTGTATTTGTATTTATTTATTTATTTATTTATTATTTGTTTGTTTTTATTTATTTATTTATTCATTTATATTTTGAACTTACGCTGCCCAGAGTGTACGGCCCCGGTGCCACGGGGAAAGGATAAAACTCCGTAATCTGAAGAGTAAATAAATAAATAAATAAATAAATAAATAAATAAATAAATAAACAGATAAATAAATAATAAAATAAAAATAAATGATTAAATAATAATGGTAATAAAGGGTATGAAGAAGAAATCAAAAAGAACGAGAAGAACAAAAAAGTAACAATTAAAATAAAAAAACGAATCTTCAGTCGCAAATATTTCACAGAGACAAAGCCTTCTAAGCCCTAAACCCTAAACCCTAAACCCTAAACCCCAAACCCTAGGTAAGGCATATCTCACGGAGGAAAGGCCTCCTAAACCCTAAACCCGTGACCCTAAACCCTAAACCCTGGACCCTGAACCCTAAACCCTGAAACCTGAGCACTCAGCTCTAAACCCTAAACCCCAAACCCTAAACCCTAAACCCTAGAAGCTGGGCTGGTCACGCAGCTGCATATATATCCACAACTTGAACACCAAGAAGCAAAATAAAAAATAAAAATAAAATAAATTTAAAAAGAAATAAAAATGCAGCAGCAGAAATTAATATCCACGAGCTCATTTTCACATTTTTTAAATGCCATTTTTCACCAATTCATTTTTACTATTCATTCATTTATTTATTTATTTGTTATTTATTTATTTATTTATCTATTTATTTACTTATTTATTTATTTATTTTTATTTATTTACTTCTGGGCGAGTGCCGCCGTAGCACTTCTCCAGTTGCCAAGGGGTGTATTCTTTAAGGAGCTCTTCCTCGAATCCAGATCTGCAAAATAAATAAATAAATAAATAAATAAATTAATAAATATAAATAAACAAATTAATTAATTAAAAGTAGACAAAGAAGGAGTTCAGCAGTTGAGCGACAAGGAGGGGGTCTCTGCATCTGCGGGGGCGCATTAGGGTTTAAGGTTTAGGGTTTAGGGTTTAGGGTTTAGGGTTTAGGGTTTGGGTTTACCTAAGGAAGAGCATTTTTTGCTGCTGCACTTCAGTAAGAAACTGCTTCGCGATGTTCCACACAGTCTGAGTCCGCAGAAAGGCAAACAATTTATTAATTTAATTTAATGTTCATATTAATTTTAATTTATTTAAAACTTGAGTTTCTTTTTTGAATTATTACTTCAATTTTTATTTTTTTAATTCAAACAAAAACATCCAAGCAATCGCCACGCAGCAGCTCTTTCTCAACAGCAACACTCGCCCAGAAGACAGCACCCTAGCAGCTAGCTAGCAGCTAGCTAGCTAGCAGCTAGCCAACAGCTAGCTAGCTAGCAGCTAGCTGGCTAGCAGCTAGCTAGCCAGCAGCAAGCTAGCAGCTAGCTAGGGGCAGCTAGCTAACAGCTAGCTAGCAGCAACCCAGCAGCTGGCCCTCAGCTACCCAGCAGTCACCCCTCAGCTACCCCTCAGCTAGCCACCAACTGCCCCTCAGCTAGCAGCAGCTAGCAGCAGCTAGCCAGCTAGCCAGCTAGCCAGCTAGCCAGGCAGCCAGCTAGCCAGCTAGCCAGCTAGCAGCAGCTAGCCAGCTAGCAGCAGCTAGCCAGCTAGCAGCAGCTAGCCAGCTAGCAGCAGCTAGCCAGCTAGCCAGCTAGCCAGCCAGCAGCAGCTAGCCAGCTAGCCAGCTAGCCAGCTAGCCAGCTAGCCAGCTAGCCAGCCAGCCAGCCAGCAGCAGCTAGCCAGCCACCTGGATGAAGAAGGAGTCGTTGAGGATGAGCATTTTGTTGAGGCGGAAAGGATACTGTTTGGTGAGAGTGCCGGTCATGTCCGAGAGCGCGCTGAGGGGGAACTGGTGCAGCGGCACCGCCCGCACGTCGAAGAGCGCAGTCAGCGTCTCCACCTTCCCGGGCACCACTGCAGCAGCAGCAGCAGCAGCAGCAGCAGCAGCAGCAGCAGCAGCAGCAGCGGCGGCGGCGGCGGCGGGAGGAGCGGGAGGAGGTGAGGGGAGGGGGGAGGTTGCGGCAGCTGGGGCGCGCGGACGCTAGGGTTTGGGGGTGGGGGTTGGGGTTTGGGGTTTAGGGTTTAGGGTTTAGGGTTTAGGGTTTAGGGTTTAGGGTTTACTTAGGTAGCGAAGGCCCCACTCGAAGCAGAAGATGGTCAGCCGCTTGAAGACCTCGGGCGAGGCCGTCTTGCTCAGCCGAGCCAGCCTGAAGGTGCAAACAGCAAAAAAGTAATCCATTTAGTGAATTGAATTGATTTAATTATTCAGTTTAATTTGATCTTATTAATTAAGTTAAATTAATTGAATTCAATTAATTAAATCGAATTAGTCAAATTAAATTTAATTAAATTAATTAATCGAAAACGAAGAAGAGGTCGACTGCGGCGGCTGCGACTTGCACTCCTGCGCGGCACTTCGTCGGCGGCATTTTGCAAAAGTGGAGTCGAAAGAGTCGAAAAAAAGGGAATTTTGGATTGCAGAAAAAGGAAAAGAAAGTGGAGCAAAAGAAGTGAATTGAAGGGCGAAAGGAGCTGCAAAAGGGGGAAAAAATGCAAAAAAAAGACCCAAAACTCACCGAATTACCAGCAGCGGCCGCAAGTGCCTGTCCCGCCCAGCCCAGTACATCACCCCCTGCTGCAGCAGCTCTTTTATTTGCTGCTCGCCGTCGCTCAGCGGAAAGAAACTTCGCCGCCACTCCACCATCGACTTCGCAATCTCAAAGCTGCAGCAACGCCCCACACCTGCAGCAGCAGCAGCTGCAACACCTGCTGCAGCAGCTGCAGCAGAAGCTGCAGCAGGAGCTGCAGCAGGAGCTGCAGCAGGAGCTGCAGTAGAAGATGCAGCAGGAGATGCAGCAGGAGCTGCAGTAGAAGATGCAGCAGGAGCTGCAGCAGAAGATGCAGTAGAAGCTGCAGCAGCAACGACGGCAGCTGCAGCAACAGCTGCAACAACTACAAGTGCAGCAGCGACAGCTGCAGCAGCAACAGCTCCGGCAGCAACAGCTGCAGCAGCAGCTGCCGTCGTTGCTGCTGCAGCTAGGGAATAAAGAAGTGAAAAGAAGAAAAAGAAGAAAAGAAATAAAGGAAATTCAACGAAGAACTGAAAACAAGAAAAAGAAGAAAAGAAATAAAGGAATTGAACATGGAGTTGAAGAGAAGAAATAAAGGGATTGAACAAAGAATTGAAAACAAGAAAAGAAAAAAAAGAAAAGAAGAAAAAAAGTGCCGGAACTTCACCTTCTGGAAATGATATTATCTCCCCACTTTCTGTAGGCGAGCCAAATGATGCGGAGAAGTAAAGGCTCGAGAAAAAAAGGAATTTGAAAAGTTTGGGATTTGCAAAAAGTGCGAAATGCAGAAAGCCAGTCTTGTTCTTCAGGTGTCAGTACAGTGTGGAAGAAGATCTGGCGGATCCGAACTTCTTTCTGAACAATTTAAATCGCGGATCCGATCTTCATTTCTTTCAATTATTTCTTTTTATTTGTTCTTTTTTTCTTTTATTTTCATTTATTTCTTAAATTCCACCCAATTCTCTTTAATTGAAAAGAAAAACTTCTTTTCGCTTCAATTCACAAGTGCAACTTGAATTCCCACTCGCAGCGGGGCAGTAATTCGAAACCTTTTTGCAAGAATTGCATTTTAATAAATATAAATAAATAAACAAATAAATAAATAAATATGAATAAATATAAATAAATAAATTTAAATAAATGCATGCGTCCACTTGTTGAGAAGAACAATTCAACTTCGCAGGCAAAGCTTTCAAAAAGAAGT